GGGCGAAGAGAGAGCCGACGAACGGTCCCCATCTTTGGCTTGGAAAGATGAAGCAGAGGTTCCCGCCTCTATGAATGCTTGCGTGGTCTATACCGATATTCAACGATTAGCGGACTACTCGTCGAAGTCGGGGAAGATGTACTAACCGAACATGACGATGGCGCTCAAAGAATGTCTTACACTAATAACGAAGATAATTCGACGGATGACTATCCACAAAAGCACATTGTGCAGGGAGAAAGTGGACGGGACAAATGCAAACAATGGTAGCGAGGATTGGGTACTTCGTCTATTGTAGAGGATAAGCAGAAGGGGGGAAAGGACTCGTCGAGCAGAGATGTCAAACAAGCTGTCGTAGCCAAAAGCCAACCGAGGGCCTAAATGGAGTAGTCGTTTTCAAAATCGCACACTACAAAGAGTTAATCTCGTATTCTTCGACATGGCGCCATTTGAGGGTGTTGCGCGGTACGGCGCTCGCGTGGTTTTTGGTCTTTTATGGTATTGACGTACGTAATTCTCTTCTCTCTTGGATAAAGTGCTAAGAACTCTTCTAGTTGAATCAAAGCGTCATGCTCCAACAGACCGGATCCGGAGGAAAGAAGGGCGATGATCCCTTCGACAAGCTATTCAAGCTCGCCACCGGAAACGTAAGCGCATGATTTCTTTCTTCGTTCACTCAGTACTAACATGCTCTTGGCAGATTATTGTCACCGCACTTGAATTCTTGCCAGGCTACTACTTTATCCTGTTTACCATCGACATCATCGGTCGTAAATAGCTCCAGTTCGGAGGATTCCTCGCGTCTGCACTCTTCCTCGCGATCATGGCGGGTGAAGTCAACCATCTCGGCAAAGATCCCCTCATCAGCTGCTTCACCTTCCTTCAGTTCTCTTTCAACTTTGGTGGCAACTCCACAACCCGCACATATCTGATTTATTTCGCCTTGTTTTACTCTATGGCTAATGTACTAATGATTAATCCGTAGTCATTGTCGCCACCGAATCGTTCCCGACAAGGATACGAGCAACCGCGCATAACCTGTCCCCTGCTTGCGGTAAACTTGGTGCCATTCTCTCCTCACTCGTGTTCAAATAGCTCAAGGCCAAGATTGGCACTTCGAACATACTGTGGATCTTTTTCGCCAAGGGTGTGCTCGGTACGCTGTCGACATTGTTGATTGATGAGATGATGGATGTGGCTCAAAATGAGAAGGACAGCGAAGAGAGAACACCCAAAGGCGAAATTGAGGGTCTAGGGGTGGAGGAATAAAACGAGTGAAAGGGTCATTTAGAGTAAAATGAGGAATCTGAGGGCTTTGTAGCATGTTTAATATTTAGAGGAAGCGTTTTAAACTATACAATCATGTTTTATAAAAGTTACAGAGAAAAGAAAGCAATTTGTCTCACCACTACCGTTTGGTACAAGTGAATTGGCGATCTAGGAAAGTACATTTTTTCTCCCTCACCTCTGATCACCAACCATTAAATCACGAAGATATGGTGGAGTCTTTGGTTCCGGCTGAAATCTTTCTCCATCATGCATCCCCAACCAGTCTGTCGCTGCGTCCTGCACAATAAGTGGGCGAGCACAGGCAAGTGTCCGTCTTGTTTGCGACCCAAAAGCAACGGGTTTTTGATTTGTGAGACTTTGAATGACTTCAGTACATCGTATGCTGAAATCTTCCTTGCTGCCTACTCGCCCCATTGAAATTTGGAAC